TATTTTGAGAATGCAATCAAAACTGGAGAATAAACTACTGTTCGATTGGTGAGAACTAAAGAAAACTACAGAACTAAAAAAGAAATAGTAACCATTCGAGACGACTAAACTCTCCTGGGATCTCACTTTTAACTACATAAAAGCCTCCTTCTACCCTCCCTTCTACCTTTATTTATACTTCCTAACTAATTCCCCTCCCCACTTGCCCATCTAACTGAATATGTCCATACCCTCCTCAAGTCTTTCGGGCTCTTCTAGAATTGGAGGCTTATCATGCAATCTTGAGGACAAGGTAAGTTTTAGGGTAGGTTATCGATATGCCTAATACATTATATTTTGTTATTTGGTTATTTTATTAATGGGAAAATTAGGATCTAAGAAAACCATGCAATCGAAGAACCAACCACAATCGAAGCGAAAAATGAATGTTTAGCTTACTAAAGTAGTACTCGATGGATCTACTAACATTAACATAATTATCCTGAAAACCCCATAGTTTGATGCTCCACCTACATGGTATATAAGAATAAACTTATGGGTTACCCCATAATCAAATGGCACATTACGTTTATACCATTTCCTCAACATTTTTCTTAGTTGTCATATGTTAACCCTAAAACTAAATTAATTAAGAGCTCAAGTGTGTTAAATGTCCCTTCCATTGTTGTCTTCAAAATTGCATTCCTTTTCACTTACTACCATCCCTAGTATTTCTTGATTTTCCTTCGATAACCCAATTGTGTAGTTTCCTTCACATTGGAAAGTCCCATGTCTCACTTGACTTCTAGCTCGACATCAATTAAATGCTGAAAACAAATGGTATCTGGTGCTATCTTAGGTTTTGCTTCAAGGGATAGGTTGCATCTATTTGTAACATTTGAGTTTAAAATTATAAAAACTTGATTTAGCTCCAACCAAATCTATGGTTTGAGATAGCCCACTCTCCAAGAATAGCAAATTGAACTACATTATTTGCTTCCAATAGAGATCTTGAAACCTTTTCCCAAGACAAATCTAGAATCCCACATCAATGTTCATTTATTGCAATAGCTTTCTCGTCCATGGCAATCACTTTTAATAGAAAAATTTTATCCATCAGTAAATCCTTTAATTATTACCAACTTCGAATGGGCAAACAATCATGTGTCCATTGAAGCTATGCTAAGGATTTTTTTTTCCAAATCTAATCGGCGCCCCTTCTAACTTCTCTGAATTCATCAACACATTAATCGTAACGCATCACCTAATTCTTTTAGATCTACAATCAAGATTTTTTATAAAACGCCAGAATCACTTTATCCGATGCTTTTCCATCAACACACAATCAACGATACTCAATTGATGTACCATATGTCCAATTTTGCCAAATTCATCCAATTCCTCTAAAAAATCAATCCTGCTCCTCTAACATTGTACTCTCTTAACTTCTCTGCATTTGCCATCATATTAATCGCATAGTAACACTCAACTCTAAAAATCCAACCATCACGACTTTCAAAGGTAAACAACAAAATCTCTAATTTTTCCACTTGCAGGCAAGGATCGATGGTATTCACTAGTTTCATCTACTCAATTTTGTCTAATTCACCCAATTAATTTAAGATCTATTCCATGCTCTCGTTCAAAATCAAAGTTACAAACTAAAATAGCAACTCTCTGAAAAAAAAATTAAATAAAAATATTCACTTTAGTGCTATATTTATTTATAGATATCTATCCAGACTAATTCATTGATTTCATTGATGCAATTTTAAATAGGAGTCATCCTTACATAGGGATGTCAACGAGCCGACTCGCGAATCGAAACTCAAGGCTCGAGCAAAATGAAATGGGCTTTTTTGAGCCTGAGTCAAGCCAAGCAAAAGCTCGACCAAAAAACAAGGCTCGAACCTAGCTTTCGGCTTAGGCCTTTGCGAGCCGAGCTGGGCCGGCTCAATTTTTCTCTCTTTTTTTTAATTATATTGGCATTGCTGCCTTATTAAAATAAGGCAACAAGCGTTGCCTTAATTAAGGCAGCCGCTTTTTTTTTTTTTTTTTTTTTTTTTTTTTTTTTAAATAAGGCCCTAGCCAGCGAGCCACACAAGCCGAGCCAAGAGCGGCCTGAGCCAACCAATTAACATCCCTATCCTTACATTTAAGATAACATATCAATTAATGCACTTATTGCAATCATCAATTTAGCCCCGATTTGGTACCAATTAAAATTTAGATTCTAACCTAAGTCAAAGTCAGCAATTAATTTTAACCACATTTTGTGGGTCTTACAACTTTTCGACCACATATTTTATCAACTTTTATAAAAGTCTGCTAACAATCTAATTTTAATCATCATAAAACAAGGGCTTAGATAGATAACATTTTTCTTAGTTAATATTATAACTAGAGATATTTCATGGATCTCTCTCATAACAATCTAAATCCTCTTTCCCTAGCTACATTTGTTGGCGCATATTCCCAATTCTTATTTTATCCATCTAAGTACAACCAAATATTCATCTTGGTTTCTTCATTTTCAACTCTACTCGACTTAAAAACCTTATATTCAAAATACTCCTTCAACATTCTAATTCAATTGTCTAGACATAATTTAAACAAGAAGATCGAACCAACCAATTGAAATTAGTACAACTATTTTGAATGAACCATTTCGATTGATATGCAAGTAACCTTGCCAAACTCAATAATCCATCCAATTTTTTGTGGAAGTTACCCAATTTACGAAAACAAAAAATTTTTAAGAAAAAAGGTCAAACGAAACTCTAATTTGAAACCTTAACCTTAGTCTACAAGTAATGATTAGTGGGACACAGCATTTCTTAAGATTTGACTCTACAAATTTACAAATTTAGAAATCATTTATTTAGTTCTCAATTTACTTATTTTTTGAATCTTACAAATATAACAAGCCAATGTTCGGCTCCCGTTATAATGAGAATATTCCTAAAATATATTTTAAAATAGTAATTTTTTTGAAGAATATGTGGTTCAAAAAAATATTTTAAGATTACGTATAATATTATATTATTGAAGAATGTTTAGTTTATAAGAAGAAAGATAAAAACGAGTTATAATTTTAATGGCGATCAAACATAGGCTAAAATTATATAAGATAGTAATACTTATTAAGCCCCATTTGATTCACATTATTTAACTACAAAAATGAAAAATATGACCATTATTCATCAAATCAAACAACCAAATTTGACTTTTTATTTCTTGTACGAGTCCCGTAACGGCTATATTTTTCATTCTCATTCCTACAAAATGGACACCAAACGAGTCCAAAATTAATATAATATTTGAATAATTCAACACAAATTTAAAATATTTTATGGATATAAATATCGTAGACAAGAAAAATTATAAATAGGTATAATCAACAACAAACTAAGCTCATGTTTGGCAAGTGTTTAAATTATACACACTTGGTCAAACATCATTTTATCCACACAATTCATGTGTTCTACAAGTTATAATGCTCGGATTCGAGTATTGATATCGGGTACAAGTATATATTTAAGCGTCGGATCTTTTATTTTCTGAAATGTAGGATACGAAAACATGTTTAAAAAAATCTAAATTTCGACCATGAGTACGTGAATACATCTTTCAAATTTCAATTTATTTACAAATTTAAAATGTCATTTTGAATAGACCAAAATCAGATGTCACAAAGAATGAAATGAGTATTGAATAAGAGGTTAAAACGAATAAAGTAAAATTTTGGGATTAAATTTTTATTTATAGGAAGTTAATTATTAAAGTTATATAAAATAGAAAATGAGGAACTTATTGCAATTTGGACTTAGTGGAACACCACATAGCATTATATGGAACTGATTTTCATTTTGTACACACAAAATCCTAAGCTACTAATACAAAGAGAGAAAGAAAGGAATAAGGGAAGAAAGGGAAAAGAAAAAAGAAAGAAAAAGAGAAAATCTAGAGGCGTCGTATTTCTCCACCCTTTCAGTGGTGGTGCTAGGTTTATAGAGTAAAAATGAAAAAGAAAATAAAAAGAAAAAAACAGCAAAAGAGGCGAAATGTCTGGTTAAAATTTTGAGAGTTCGACATATATCTCATACCCATACTCATATCACGTTCAACACAGATACTCTAATCATTTAGAAGAATCCGAGCATCAAAGCCTGCAAGTATGATAAACAACTCTCAAATTTACTTTAAGCCCCTATTTAACAACCAAGCAAAAAAAATTTATCTTGGCCCCATTTGGTGGTGAGTTTTCATTCCAAAAAATTAATTTTTTTACCGTTATTTCACTATTTCAACCGTCATTTTTTACTTCTTCACTCACATATGACCCCATTTTTTCCTTAAAGGTCAAAAAATTAATTCTCAAAATCACTACCAAAGTGGCTCCTAATCATTTTTAAACCATACATTTTCACAATAAGATATTCTACAAATAAATCCAAAATTTTTTACTATTTTTAACCACGCATTCTTTAAAAAAAATATATTAATAAAAAAATTTAAAAAAATAAAAACTCATTTTAAAGGTTATCAAACAAGCTAAATATCATTTCCAATCAATTTAGAGAATGGAAGACGCAACATTCTACTTGCCCATTTGGAAAAGCTTTTAATCGTACATTTTATCATTTAAAATTTTTTACAGTAAATCAAAAACTTATCCACACTTTTAACCACATGTTTTTGAAAACATCACTGTTTATAAAACTTTAAATCATTTGTAATAGCATCATTCTTTATCATATATTCACACAATAAATATTCTATACACAAATTAATAAAAAAAATTACTTTTTATCCACCATACTATTAAAAACTTTTTAATTTGTCAAATAATAGGTGACAAACAAGAACTTATTTTTTCAAAAAAATGAGGCTTAAATAAAGCCATAATATAGTTTCCTCATGAAATTAAATAATTTCATTATCAATTTGAATAAACTTTGCTTTGTGAGGAATCAATCCAGAAAAAATATGAACAAACCATTAACCAAAGTAGATCTCACCTTCGAACTTGTAAAATTTGCTCACATTGAAATCCAGAAGTTAGATTTCACATCACCTCTGTGGAAAAATATAGAATCTGCAACCAAAATAGGAGAAAAAACAAGAAAAGGAAAAAGGTGCATTAAAGAAACCCTAGATCAAACGCTGCTTATGTAGACGCCACTGAAGCGTTGAATTCCGCAAATGCCCTTTAGGTTTGCCAATATTACTACAGCGAAATGCAAAAGATCTGGATCAACCGCCACGTGCTGCTGCGCCATTGGACTGACTTCTTTCAGATCTAAAAGTGGGCACATTGAGTGCGATTGGGCTTCATGGACCGAGAGCCCGTGCAATATAGGGCATTGCACGAAGATGCGATTTCTAGGTGCATTTCCAATGCCTTGCGAAATGATGCGATTCCTCGAGACTCATGAAAAGTGGAGGTTTATATGCGGGTCGGAAGGCAATTAAATTTTTATTCTTTATATAAATATATATATATTTTTTTTTTTTTTGCAATAAAGATTTTTAGCTGTTGTTTGATGCAAATTAAAATTAGATTTGTAAAAATTTTAATAAAATTTAATAAAATATGTGATTGAAAAATTATGATTCCATAAAATGTATGATTAAAATTAATTATTAATTTTAACTTAAGAGTATGTTTAATTGGTATGAAAAATATCGCCTACAAAAGAAAATATTTTTCATCTTTTGTGGAAAACAAAAACCACATCTACTCAAGAAAAATGTTTTTCTTAAAAATAAGGAAAATTAGGCATATTTTCAAAAGTTGGAAAATATTTTCCATGAAAAAAATAGCAATCAAACACTCCAAATAGGAATTTGGGTAGAAAACTGATATTTTCTATGAAAAACAAATGTAATCAAACACACTAAATTAAGCCCCCGTTTGGTTCCCATTATTTTTTCATTAAAATGAAAAATTTGACTGTTATCCATCACATCAAACCACTAAATTTAAATTTTTATCTCTTGTGTGGGGCCCGTAACTACTATATTTTTTATTCTCATTCTTCCAAAAATAAGAAACAAACGGGAGCTAAAACTGGACTTAATTTATTTATGTCCAATATTTGTGTTGTACTTTTATCATTAATATTATGCCCTTTTTTGATAGAAATTAAAATTATAATTTTAGTAAATTTTGATTAAAATATAATTGAATGTGTAATTGAAAAGTTATGAAATATGTGATTAAAATTAATTATTAATTTTGATTTAAATTTTATTCAATTTTTTTAACGGCACCTAACATGGACTTTATTGAATAATAAATCTTGTCTTTAATTTTATTAGGTTAAAAAAATGGATGGCAAGGATTAATAAAAATTATTTGCCCTTAATATTTTAAATAAACTAATAACAAATTTGAAAGTTTAACAAAAAGAAAAAAAAATTAATTCCAACAAATTTATGGATAGAAGCGATCTTTAATGATAAGATATGCTAATTAATTAAGTCCTTATTTGGCCACTATTATAATAAGAATTTTGACAATTCTGTATTTTGGAATAGTAATTTTTTTAAGAATATGTGATTAAAAAAGAAGAAAAAGTTTTTAGATTACGTGTAATAATATTTTATTGGAGAATTTATAATTGATAAGAAGATAGAGAGAAAATGAATTGTGATTTTAATGGGGTTGAATAGGGATTGAAGGTTAAATATAAAATACGGCTAAAAAGTTGGAAATATAAAAGAAAAAATAAAAAATAGAGAACTTTCATTAGGATTAAAATGTGGTGGAAGCCATGCTGTTAATATAATTATTCATTTCTAATCCATAACTAAAGCTGTTAAACTTTTTAAGATTGGGGTTCACATTATCTCAAAACTAATAATTAAAAACAAGGGATTTCGGCCAAAATTTATGAAAAGAGTCAAAGTTTAGGGATAATGGCTATAAGCCACCCTTTTGACTCTCTATTAAATTAAATTTTATTTTTCTCTCTCATATTTTTAATTTTTCAATTTTTCATAAAATAATATTACACGTTAATCGAAAACTCTCTTCTTTTTCAATCACCTATTCTATAAAAATAAAAGTACTATTCTTCCCATTAAAATTTAAATAATGAGGGCAAAAGGGGGCTACTTAACCTTTAAATGAATAGAAGGAAATTTTGCACAAATGGCCTCAACATATCTCCATTCAAAACGTTACTCACTCCGTCTAATAAAAATAGTCGTATTTCTTTGTTCATATAGATTAAGAATATTTAGTTAATGTAGTTGAAATAATAAATTTTATTTTCAATTTTCCTAATATATCCCTACATTATTACAAATCAATACTTCAAGGTAATTAATTTATGCATGCAATAATAAAGGTAATTAAAATAATTTTTGTACTAGTCATTGTTTAACACAAAAATCAGAATAAATAACATTTCAAAGTCATCCGATATTCAAGGGTGAATAAATGATGACAATATATGATGCTGGGCATTTTTTATACTCCAAATACAAATGAAAAATGTCATGGAAAATGATTTTTTTTAATTTTTAATTTATTGATCCAACTACAATTAAATAATGGAGTGATTTATATTTTGTGATAACAAAGCACATTAAATAAAGATATATTAGAAAATTAATATTTTATTAAATAAAGATATATTAGAAAATTAATATTTTAACTAAACTCTCAAATAAAAAACATGACTTTAATTTGAGGCAAAAGAAAAAGAACAAAGGGACTATCTTTCTAGGACGGGGAGAGTATTCTCTAGTTGTAGTATTTTATTGATTGATTTTTTTAATAAAAATGTGTATTTCATTGATTTTAACATCAAGTTTTACGTCTATCACTAATGTTATTCCTTAATTGGTCATTAAATTCCTATAGATCAACTTTATTCCATATACGCAAATGCTTTGTGCATAAACAATATTAAATATTTTAAATACAAATGTCGTTTTGTATTGTTTGTCGTTAGAAATTTTTAGTAAAGTTAGTGTATTATAAGTTTGTTTCAAGGTTAATTTATAAATGTTCAATGAAATTTTTGTGGAATTTTAAGTTAATCTTAGCCTATATTAAGTCTCTCATTTTTACAAAAATTCATTTTTTCAAAACTTATTTTCAACCATACATAATTTTATAAAATAATTTTACACGTAAATTTAAATCTATTTTTCTTACCTGCACATTTTTCAATAAAACACTATTCCAAAATGCATGTTGCTCCAAATATGGAACTGAAACACTGGATTATTGATCGTTCTATTCACAACATCCACTACAAATTACATGGTACCATTAACCCGTGTTTGATAGTAATTATTTTTTTTAAAAACAATGTTTTGAATTGTAAATTTTTGGAATATGTGTTGGTTAAAAAGTAGTAAAATGTGTTTGAATTTACATGTAAAATATTTTATTGTGTAAGCCCTTGTTGGAGTCCCATTTTGTCAAAAATTTATTTTTTCAAAATTTATTTTTAACCACACATTTTCAATAAAATTATATAATAGTTAAATAAAAAAATTGTTTCTATTTTTTGTTAAGCTGGACTTCAAAATGAGAAAAACTACTTGCCAAAAAAAAAAAATTGCACGCCTAAAAAGGCGTTTTAGAATACTAGCGAGAGGTGCATTTATTTGTCTTTTAGATTAAATGTCTATTTGAACCACATTATTTCAAAAAAATATATTCTTAAACAGTGATTTGATATCATTTCAATCACATATTTTTCAATAAAATAATATTACACGCAAATAAAAAAAATTTCCTTATTTTTAACCACACATTTCTCATCAATACACTATTCAAGAATGCATTATTACTAAAATAATGTGGCTCAAACACCCTATAAATATCTTTGCATAAAGTGCAATTTTGTTAGCATCTAATATGAATATCTTTGCACGAAGAGCAATTTTAATTCTTTTCATCTTGATATTTTTGTGTGAAAACTACCATTTTTTCTAATTGAAGATTTTGTTTACAGAGTACATATTTTTGTCTTTCTCAATTAGAGTGACCAAATACGTAAATTAATTAACTGACTAAATAATTTAGTCACCAACTTGGAATTCACACAATCTTCATTTACTAATTGCAAAAAATTGGCAATATAATTAGCGGAAGTTTGTCAATGTCATAAATTTAACAGGGCCACTTTAGATCTCGAGTGGATAACGCTAACACAGTAACGAATTGTAATAAGAGTGACCCGCTAACCTTTTAATGTCTGATCAATTGAAGGCAATGGAAAATGATATTTTCTTGTAGCATTATTCAACTTCTAGCAATCAATACACAGTCTCCACCCAATTACTAGCCTTGTTGGAATCAACTCATTATTTTTATTCTTCTCCAATTTCACCCTTTTAGGCACCACAAATACTGAATTACCTATGGACTACCTGATATCAGATAACTAATCCCAGTATCTAATAATTTCAACACTTCTCTTGAACCAATTCCTTTAATGTCAGATTCAATATGTGCTGGCCCTCCATTGATGGCTTTGACTCATCTTTCATTAGGATTTTTCACATGCAAAGGGTAGGACTAATTTCCTGATTATTAGCTATCGTCTATCCGATAGCTATCTCGTGTCTCTTTAGTACCTTCAATAATTTTTTCTCCTCATCCTCCGTAATATTGTTGAAATGATTATTGAAAAAATAATGGAATCTCTCAAATAAGCATAACGTAGATGTTATAACAAAGACTTTTAACTTAAGAGTTGGGGCTTTTCTACTGAAGGTACTGGTGGTGATGGATTTGGCACTAAGAGACTCATATTGACAACTTTGTTTAACCATGGGTGGTTCAGCCAAATGTAAAGCACATTCCTTTATAGTTGATATTCTAATTTAGTTGATTCTAACCTTGCAATACAAGCCTCATATGGATCTACTGGATGTTTTGCTTCAAAGGTATCGACTACAAGCTCATCAAGGACTTCTATTTGGCAGCAAGTATCAAAAGTCAAATGATGCTTCATGTTCTTCTAGCTTTCTTTTATTGGAAAGAATTTCCTTCAAGAATTTAGCATAGATTGGCATTTGTGCAAATATATTTGGAAAAGGGATGTTGATATGCAATTTTTTGAAAACCTCCACGAACTTTATAAACTGCTTGTCCAATTTTTTCTTCTGCAACTCTTGAGAAAAAAGAATTGGCAACAAATAAGCCTTGATTAGATTTGGTGCTCTTACTATTGGCATTTCTTTTCTTTCTTTATTATCAACTGTAATTGGTGCAAATTTTCCTCCTTTCACGATTTCTTCAATTTCTACCTTATTTTCTTTTCTTTCTAGCCTCTTCACATTAATTTCTAGTAGTTGTACTCTACTTCTATCTGTTATAGCTTGC